TGGAGGTCGTCTTGCTTTAGTGGTTATGTAGTCGTGATAAGTCTTGCGTTTGGTCAATCTTGCTGTTGTATTACTTTGGTTCTTGGTACCTGCTACTGGTCTCCTTGTCTGGTGTCATTTTGTGCTTTTGCGGGATAAGCTGGTGATAGAATTCAGGATTTGATTACTGGATTTGAGTTGATTTGTGGTCTGGTTAGACTTCTGGTTTGTTTTCGCTTCTGGTATTTCTATAGGTTTTAGGTGTTTGTGGTTGCTTTCATGATGTGACTGTTACGGTTGATTTGCATATTCAATTCTTGTGTCAGTTATTAGTCTATGGCTTGGATATTTTTGTGATTTGAATATTGGCGTTTAAATGTTGATATCGTTGCGTGAATATCAGAACTGCTTTGCTTCCCCTCTATTGTGAATTAATATTGGACATTCATTCCTGCGTTACTCATCATGGATTTCACAGATGAGGCAATTAAGAACATGCTTGAGGTGTTTAAACGCGGAAAGGAAAAACCTAAAGCCAATACACCTGAAGACTTTTAAGAATGGTTAAAAGGTACCCTCACTGTCAAGACAGAGCCTACCCCAGAAGCACATAGCAGTGCTGCCCAATCCTCTTCAGTTGTTTCTCAACGTTTCCCTAGGATTCCCCCATCCAGTGGTGATAGGCATGGCAAGGACACCTCATATGATGTTTGGAGGTATCACGTTGACAGTCTTCTGGAATCCAAGAGCTATCCCAAGGATGTCAAGACTCAAGCTATTAGGGATTCACTGAAGGGAGATGCCACCAATATAGGTGTGACCATGAGGTCTGGAAGTGATATCTCCACACTCCTAAGGAAATTGAAAATCATCTTTGATATTGCAGAGAGGAAGGAATCCAGGATGGTCCAGTTCTATAGTGCCAAACAGAAAGATGGTGAAGATGTTTCTATGTGGGGTTGTCGCCTGGAGGAACTGTTGGCGTATGCAATAAAGGACACCCAGGGACACATTGATGGAGATGAGATGCTGTGGAACATGCTCTGGACTGGACGTAATTAATAATAAGCACACTAGAGTTTATTATACTTTCACACAAACACACAGCACTCAATCACGCATGGCTATGTATCTATAGACTTAAAACTTCCTTAAAGAACATATCTGGGCACAAGTTTGATTCTCTGGACAACTTCGATGACCTATTACAAGCTCTACAGGAAATTGAGAATGACAAGTTGTGCTCTGCCGAGCCAAGAAACGCACCACAGCCACTGCAAAGAGTGCCACAGAACAGCAGCCTCCTGAGTGGAAGAAGGAAATGGATGATGTAAATGCCATGTTAAACAAGCTTGCAACAGAGGTAGCTGGAATGAAACAAGCAAGTACAACAGGAGAAGACTTATATTATCGTGGTAGGGGAAATAGACTAAAACAACAAGCACGTGGACATCATAACTGGACATGCAACCCTGGCCGTGGTCAATCACAAGCAAGATATGATTCTCAGTGGAATACTCAAGAAGACTATACAGACAACCAGCAGTGGAATAATCAGCAAGGTTATTCAGACGACCAATCTACAAAGTAACAGTATTCTGTGGAAGCAAGAACTTGGAATCCGATGGGGCCTTCTTGCTGGAGATGTGGTCAAGTTGGATACACACAGTACTATTGCCGTGTGAGACTGGACCATAGTAGGAGAGGACGAGCTTTAAACTCGCACAGACCTATTGGAAGGGGCCGCCTGTAGGCATCTACGCGCGCCCTAAACGATTCTCGACTCGGATTGTAGTAAGCACGTTCCAACTTGGATACTCATTACTGCCCCTAGTTCTCACCCTCATGGTGCCTGACAGTCAGCTGGCTTTATACAGAGCTCCGTGCCGCACTGTGATGACGTCGAGGTTTCAAAAACATATACATTGCATCAACAGTGTTACAATGTGCTTATTTCTTCACACAGTGTAGGGGCGGACGGGTAGCCCAGTGGTTAAAGCGTTCGCTCGTCACGCCGAAGACCCGGGTTCGATTCCTGAGATGGGTACAATGTGTGAAGCCCATTTCTGGTGTCCCCCGCCGTTATATTGCTGGAATATTGCTAAAAGCAGCGTAAAACCATACTTACTCACTCACTCACTCACACAGTGTAACCAAATAATATAACATTCAGCTCGAGTTGATTTTCTTTCCAACAGCATCTCAAGTCAACAAATCGATAGAAGTGCTGGTATTGTCAGTTTCCTAATTTGTTTCATTAATCGCAATATGGAAGCACCCGAATGTGGCAAGTAAATTGAAACAAGTGCCCTTGTTTGAAATCTATGTATATATAATATTAAATAATTATAAAATGTTATTAATTACGTTTATATTTGTTATTACAAATAATGTATTTCAAAATACTTACTTATGTTATCACTTTAATAAATATAAGAATTTCACAAATTGCATCATATGGTATGGTGACGTATTTGTAAACTTTGTTCTGCAGGGTCCCGTTCCACAAAGCGATCGTAGCGCAGCGACAGTCGAAAGTTTATGTTAAAGTATGGGAGTTACAATCATCTTAGCGTTAGGATAGCTTTGTGGAACGGACACCTGAAGTCGAAAGGTAGACCGTTGTATGGTATTCAATTAATGCATGTCAACTTTTAATGTGTTTGAAGGATTATTCTGTTAAACTCAATTGGGTGATGCTGTCCATAGCGTAGATCTCTGCCGCCTATTTACACACGACGGTGGCTTTTTGAAAAGTAGTACGCGGCAAGTAATAAATAAAACACCAAACTCGGATCCGTGTAATGCCAATTATATGAAACATAGTTTCATAGTTTCATGGCTTCATAGACGAAGTTTCGCTCTTCAGATACCAGAACAATTTATTCATTTCATAAAATTGGTATCACAAGGGAGCTCTTTAAGTATTCTATATAATATGAATGTGTCACGTCACAAGCGAAAATGTATTTGTCAGGTTACAAACGAATATGTATGCGCCATGTCACAAACTGATATGAATGTGTCACTTCACAAACAAAAATGAATATGTATGTGTCACAAACGAATATGTATGTGTCACGTCACAAACGAATATGAATGTGTCACGTCACAAGCGAATATGTATTTGTCAGGTTACAAACGAATATGTATGCGCCATGTCACAAACTGATATGAATGTGTCACTTCACAAACAAAAATGAATATGTATGTGTCACAAACGAATATGTATGTGTCACTTCACAAACGAATATGCATGTCACGTTATAAACGAATATGAATGTGTCACGTTACAAACGAATATGTATGTGTCACGTCACAAACTGATATGAATGTGTCACTTCACCAACGGAATATGCAATATAGCGACAATGCCACTGCTTACGCGAAATCATTATCAAAGATATATGTATTCTAATTAACAAGCGTATTGTGAACTCTAAAAAATATTGATATTTTTATATTTTAATATACTCACACGCAAAAGAAACGCAAGTCGAGTATGCAGTATACATGTTATTTATTTTCAACAGTAAAGACAAGAAATACTAATAGGGCAAGATTGGTAAAAATTTGACTGAAGACAGTTTAATGGATAAAAAGGCAGATGACATAATTTTTGTTTTCAACTGTTAAGGGCTTACAGTTTCGGGTCAATACCCAAAATGTCAGTCAATACCTGGTGTGACCACCATTAGCATCGTTCACTGCCACACTTCTCCTGTACATTGAGTGGATCAGACGATTTGTGAAGGCCCTAGGGATCCTCCTGCACACATCCAGAGCAGCTGGGCGCACATTGCAGACGCCTTTGAACCTCATCCCACAAGTGTTCGATGGGGTTCAGATCAGGGCTGAGGGCTGGCCACGGTAGAACACGGATGTTGTTTTGTTGCAGAAAGGCCATGGTAGCTCTGGCAACATGGGAACGAGCGTTGTCCTGCTGGAAAATGTGTTGTTTATTTGCAAAAAATGGAACAACGTGGGGTCTGGTCACTTGGTCGATATACCACTGAACAGTGACGCTGTGTACTCGACCTTGACCAACATTCAGAAAGCACATGGGTCCAAGTCTCGCATTAAGTCTAATCCCTGCCCATATCATGGCGCTAGGTCCACCCGATTGATCCCTTTCCACAACGTTTCTGTCAGCGAAACGATCACCTCGACGCCGCCAAATTCTGACTCTTCCGTCTGCATGGGAGACACAAAAGCGACTTTCATCAGAGAAGATGACACGCCTCCACTCACGATGACGCCAATTGTGATGACCCTGTGCCCACTGAAGTCGTGATTGTCGATGCCGTGGTTGTCGATGCCGTCGGCGACATCTGAGGTTGTTGGAACGGAGACGTCGGATCACAGTGTCCCGGCTAATGTGTCGATTATGTGTTCCTATGGTCTGTCGAGCACTTTCACTTGCAGTTAGGAACGGATGTCGCTGGTAATCTGCCGATCTTGTCGAGGTGTGGTGACCCTAAGACGACCGCTCCGAGGAAGGTCATCTGTGGTCTGTGTAGCATTGTATCGATGCAGGAGACGGTAAATTGTGGTTATGTTAACGTTGAAATGACGGGCAACATCTTGGACAGACTCTCCAGCTTCCAAACGTCCGATAGACTGGTTTCTCTGAATTTGAGTTGGGCGAGGCATTGTTGACCAAGGAGTGGTAGGTCCAAGAATCGGCCACAGTTTTATACCCACTACAGTTCGTCACTGTTCGTGCATTTTCGATTTCGCGAGAAATGGGTGCCTGATACCCACATATTCATTGAAATGGTGCGTTTTGGCGATTCTTTTTTTAATTTTGCGTTTTTACTCGGGGCTTCCAAAATGCAACCAAAAATATTGATAACACCATCAGGTTCACCACATGCTAAAACTCGTATCAATTTGTGGTTCCCTGTTTGTTACCCATTTGCTTAAAACCACTTGCGTTTCTTTTGCGTGTGAGTGAGTACACATGTGTCTTTATCCTCTATTTGTAATTTGTAGTAACTTCGCTCCTGTTTCTTTCATAGGTCTGATTTACAAGTGGGTGACAGAGGCGATCAACGCTTCTTCACAAGACAATGGGTAGGTTTTTGTCATCCCTACTAGATTAGAATTAGAACAGCATATCGAATTTATGACTTGGTGTCATTATTTCAAATATTCCGATCAGGGTTCCAACACGTTGATGTGTAATCACGTAATCACATACAATCGACAAAGTCAACTCTTGAGGATGAAAATGAGTACCAGCGCATGCGATTTCTGCCCGGTAGAACAGTTTTATCACAGATGAGTGAGCAATGTCAATTATAGTGAGTGCGGTTTTACGCCGCTTTTAGCAATATTCCAGCAATATCATGGCGGGGGACACCAGAAATGTACTTCACACATTGTACCCATATGGTCAAGGGTAGGGGTAGGGTATTGTCGAGGGTGGTACAGTGAAGTGGTGATATTGTCGTGTGTGGCAGAGTGACGTGGATCTATTGTCGCAAGTGGCACAGTAACGTTGGATATTGTCACTAGAGACGACGTTGCAGTGGCATGGTGACATTGGAGCTATTGTCACGTGCAGCCCAGTCACGTGGGGCTATTGTCACGTGATATCCTGTCACGTTGAGAATTGTAACATTCTTTTTTTTAATTACAGCATTGACTTGTATTAGCAGTGATCACTTCAAAACGTTCAATTGTTAACATTTCATAACATTCATTTAATGACATTAAGTTCATAACATCTTTAGATCACTGTTTATCAAATGCATGTTCACATGTATTTAGCAGTTCATGACTTACACACAGGGAGATGTGTAGTCAATGATTTAGAAAGCTTGTAGCTTTTAGTGAAATTCTGAGAGTAGCCCTCGAAGAGAATTTCCACGGTATCTAAGGTAAATTATGTACTACTTACAGAAATATAGAATTGTTTTACTTTGGAGCGAACATTACATACGATATGTAAGTCGATGTCATTTCAGTATATAGCACGTCACGTGGTGTACTTATTAAGTGTAGGTTACATACCTATATAGCAGACAGTAAATTTTAGTTGGCTACAGGTGTACAACAATGTTCACAAATGGTGAAACAAGCAGGCTCTATTTGCCATGCTTATTAACTAAGTGTGAAGCTAAATCCTTACAGCACACTAGTGGAAATTGTTCATGTTCAAAATAGAGACATATTAACTGGACAATTCATTTGCCAAATTTTTCAATTTTCTGTCAAACTGTCTTATTGTATTGTTTTTGTGTGCAATTGATTTGTCAATCCGAAATATATTGATTAAAGTCTTCAGAAAGTTTTCAAGTGACAATTTGTTTTTCTTAATACTTGATACATGTATATATTTTTGTATGCCAGTACGATGTATTTAAACATAATGTTAGAGTTGTACCCAAGTAAAACAGAGTTTTTAAAATGTAAATTGTTTTAAACATTTTGCATTCAGAAAACATTCAACTTTGGCCCAAAACTCTTTAACATGCTGACGATCCCAATATGCATGAAGTAAGGATTTAGTATCAGTTTCACAAAATGAGCACAGATCATCATCGAGAATTTTCATTTTAAACAATTCTTTCTTTGAATTTATGATGCGATGAATAAATGTATATTGAAAGACAAGTAATTTTACATGTTTTGTACAGTTTCTGTATCTGATAAAAACATCCTTCCACGATATATTTATGTTAAGAATGGTATCCTTTTTTTCACTGTGATACTGTTGGGAGAATGGCTGTAGTTATAGTTTATCATAAAAATATCTGGAGCGCTACAAGTAAATCTATCAAAGTTGCATTTAAATGTTGATTATATAAAATAATGTGATTATTTCTAATAGTATCTTTCCAGGATTTTAGTATGTTTTATAGAACCTGGTAATTGTCAATATCTGTGCCTTTAATTTGGTATTTTGTCTTAAGTTCATTGAAGGGCATTATATCACCTTCATTACAGATATCTTTAATAGTGTAAATTCCCTTTAAAAACAATTTCTTATAATGAAATCAATTTTTTTAAACTGATGGTTACACCAAAGAGGTTCTGATAGTACTTCTTCAATGTTTGTGGAGTTAGTTTTGTGTCTTCTATACAATGTTTCCCAAGCAGCAAAAACATCTCTCCAGGAAGGGTTAGTTAAGTGCATACATTTTTTAATATTTGTGAGGTGAGGTGAAATAGGGTTTAACGTCGCGTCCAAGATTATTGCACTTATATAGCGACGTGCATGCACGTGTATGTGCGTGTATGTGGCTGCTTGTACTAGTCCGGACTGACGCCGATTTATAATGCTAGCTCACTGAGATACAATGCTGCAGTTTAACATGAATACCCCACTCAGACACAGTATACTGACTCCGAGCCGACTAGTCCTTGTTTTGGCTCCTTAATGCCGAGCGCCAGACAGAGTAACAACAAGTACCATCTTTTAACGTCTTTTGGTATGACGCGGTCGGGGATCGAACCCCGGACTTTCCGCTCTCCGGACGGACGCTCTACCATTAGACCACGGAGGCGGTCTTTTAATATTGACCCCAAGTAGGAAAACGTTTTTCAGTGGAGAGATGCTAGGGTTAGTACAGTTTTTGTTTTGAAGATGTTTTTTAGAACTGACAGTTTTAGAGAAATTATAAAATACCTTACCTCTATAATTCTCAGTCCGCCTTCGTCACTGTTGTTAGTTTTATTTTGTCCCTTTTGTCATTCCAGATGAATCTGTACAATATGTTGTTTAGTTCATCAATAAATTCACTTATACTCTGTATACCCATATTCTAAGATCCTTCCAGAAGAAATGAAAACTTCTACAGGGAATCCATCAATACCTGGGCTTTTGTGATTTTTCATAGATTTTACGGCCTTTGTTATTTCATTCATGTTAATCAGGTCTTCTAAATAATCAAACTGTGATTTAATAAGTTTTGTTGTGTTTAGTTTGTGTAATAAATATTTGGACTCCTTAGTTATTTCTTCACTTGAAGAGTATAGTTTCTCATAAAAAAGGTCTCTGTCCAGTTAAGATGGATTGTCCATGGCTTATTGAATCCCCTTTTTTAGTTATAATACTGTTAATTAGTTTACTGGTATAGTTCCTGTTTTCAAGATGACAAAAATATTTTGATGGTTTCTCTCCTTCCTCGTACCACTGGATTCTGTTTCTTATTTGAATTCCCCTTTATTCTTCTTTTAATTTTTCAAAAAGTACTTAATATTTAGACAAGTCTGACAGCTTTGATTCACTTATATTCTGAATATTTGCCCTTATTTCCTCTTCTATTTGCTTTATGTTTTCTTTTAAGTTTTTACTTTCTTCATTTTTGGTTTTCCTCAAATAAGTGGAAAAAGATATTGATTTGCCTCTCACTTTCATCCAAAATGTTTCCAAAAAAAGATCATCACTGATTTTTTATTTTAAGTTTTGGTGTTAAGTTTTTATGGTTCATCTTTGGAACATTTACTGTTTGAATATTCTAGCTTTGTTTCTTCTAGTGTATCTTTCACTATTTGGATATATTCATTGTTAAACAGTACAGAAGTGTTTAACTTCTAGTAGTCCCTAACTTTTCCTTTGCTAAGTGTATTTTAAAAAGTCAATGTTATTGCAAAGTGATCGGATTTGTATCCTGGTGCAATTGTAGATCAATAGTTATATTTGCAATGTCTTGTGAGACCAAAAAGAAGTCCAGCTCGTTGTTCTGGCTTTTTCTTCCACCATGTGTATTTTTTTGCATCTATATTTTTTTCTCTCCAAATATCAATTAGATCAAAGCTTTCTGGGTTTTTTTCAAGTACTTACTTTATTGCTTTGGGATTGTTGATATGCTTAAAATATTCCAAATCGACATCTGGATTGAGTACCAAGTTCCGTCACAGGGCAATGCAAAAAGGACAAAGTGTTCACGACGAAGAATTTCGTTCGTCAACCAAATTCAGTGATAAGGGTGTGACTTGAGCACTGTAACTGACTTAAAGCGATGTGATATAAGCATTACTATTTTACACAAGATAAATACATTTCATAAGTAACATAATAACCATAAGATTGAAATCCAATTGAAATGAGAATATTTTATTGCACCTCGCTTGATTGTCAATATCAACTCATCTCTGACTAATACTAATAGAAATAGAACTGATGTGTCAAGCACCACACAAATACAGAATCAGATACACGAAGTACAGGTACACAGCGACTAATGTATCCAGGTGAACTACCTATTTTAAAGGTGATTTACTGTTGGAATAGTGGTGGTGATATATATGTATTTTCTCATCCATTCATAAATAAAATCCAATGTTTATTTTCACATTATTGATATGGAAAGGGTCACTGTATGACTTGTAATATTCCAGATATCTATTAAGCAATGTCATTGGAGGTTCTGTCTGGAAGCCAAGGTCGGATGATGCAGCTCCGTGGATTGAGGTGAATATTATCGTTAGCATTACTTCATCAAAAAGATCACTTACAGTGTATCTTAGTTGGTGCAGTGTCTACACAAAAAAAATGTAGCACTCAAATCTATTATATAAACAATCTACATGACAGCTTGACCCGTTATGCATGTTTGTCATTTAAAGGAAAATACGCTTCAGGAAAGTAATTACACTAACTACGGAAATTGTGGGAATCGCCGACACATGTAAATCTAATACACTTATTAAATAACACCCGTCCGGGCAGCAGGGGTATATTGACCACTGGGATGTAATTGCCTGTGGCATGAAGAATCATGCCCGTCTGTCATTGCCAGTAAAGCAAAAGAGGCTCCAAGTGCAACTGGCTTTTTCTATTGTTCACAGTGAAGTCGGTGACTCAGTCTGTGAGTCCACTGTAAGTCAATCACTTTGTCCACAAGATAGTCTAGGTTCAGTACATGGAATTTAGTTCCCGACACTTTCCCTGCCAGAAAACATTTTTCCCAAACAAAATTCATAAATTTGTGATGCAAGTGTTGAATTACCCACAACAAACACCATTGTTTACAGAGCATGGTTTGATAACTTTAGGATATGAACATAGGTTCAATCAGAGTTACTGTGTAGTGCTCCACGTGATTCGAACAGATGCAGAATATACTCATAAAAATGCAATTAGAAAAATGCAATTCAAATTATTCTGTTATGACATTTATTATTCTGCATTCTGACTGGTCCGCCAGCGGTATCCTATCTACGCAGGACTTTGCTTTTGCTAATGATCGCGTCAATGCAGATGAAACTATTTCTTTGAAAGCAGTTACCTGAAACCCGACCGGTATTAAATTTAAAATACCGATTTTACAGAACAAATGTTGCGGAACAAAGTGTTCGAGATCCAGATTATTTATAGCAAATGTGACATTACTTTTTCAAATGGGAAATCCGACGAAGAACGTCTAAGAGAGGGTGTGTTAAGTTCAGTTACATTAACAAAGTTTGATATTTAGTTAGAGCTCATTTATAACGTCCTGTGACGTCATGTCTATCGCTTCATAACACGAGGGTGGTGTGTACAAGCTGCAAGGGTCGCTTTGAAAAGTGTTTACACAGTATGTGTGGTAGATAGTTCTAATGTCTCTTATTGAAAACATTTTAGTATTATGGTGTTAATTATGTTTTGAGTAAAAACAACCAAACAATCTCGGATTAAAGCTTACTGATGCCTAAAGTTGACCATTCAGCCTATTGTAAATATTAGACTTAATCCATGCAACGTCACTTATTACTTCTGTGTTACGAAATCGTTCGAGATTATTACATATTTAATGTATCTACGATGTATTTTGGCCTTCGGCGGAGAAAGAGTTTAGTAGGAAAAACAGATTTGGAGGTGTTTTGTCTAAGATGACGCATTCAGTAAATTTAACTGTTTTCTCTTCAACAGCTTGGGATAGATACTTTCCTCTACTTTGCTATGGTTGAAATCTGGCCCGACATCTCTACCTTCACGAAGGACATCTGGTTTCGGGACTCCAACAGGAACTGGATGGTGACATGGACGAGGAACGACGAGGCATCCATTTTGGGATTCTTTATTCCACACTGTAAAGTTAGTTTCTTATTGTACATGTTGAATTGATGCCAGTTTTAACACATTTTGAATTGATCGGTCTGAATTAGAAGAATAACGTCCACCCCTTTTGGGGATATGGGTATTTTCGCGAGTATGACTTGACAAAAAGTAAAGTCATTTTCCTGTTGTATGAAGTTGCTAGTTTTAACATCGATAGTTTAAACATTGAATAGACTATTGTCTATACATTCAACCACAAGTCCGATTTTATAGAAAATAATAATCTGCATATCGGTCATTTGTTGAAGTAAGCCCATCGCAACACACATACATTTCTCGAGAACTGTGACATCTACCTGTGATCCCTAAACACTGTGCTGGGGACGTTAACATAACTGTACATCGCCCTGTAACACTGCCATTTGTGATCCTTAGGAACCGTGCTGGGGACGTTTACATAACTGTACATCGCCCTGTAACATATCCATGTGTGATCCCTAGGAACCGTGCTGGGGACGTTTACTTAGCTGTACATCGCACTGTAACACAGCCATGTGTGATCCCTAGGAACCGTGCTGAGGACGTTTACTTAACTCACATCGCCCCGTAACATATCCATGTGTGATCCCTAGGAACCTTGCTGGGGACGTTTACATAACTGTACATCGCCCTGTCACACATTCATGTGGGATCCCTAGGGACCGTGCTGGGGACGTTTACTTAACTGTACATCGCCCTGTAACTCATTCATGTCTGATCCCTAGTGACCGTGATGGGGACGTTTACATAATTGTACATCGCCCTGTAACTCATTCATGTGTGATCCCTAGGAACCGTGCTGAGGACGTTTACTTAACTGTACATCGCCCTGTAACACATTCATGTGTGATCCCTACGGACCGTGCTGGGGACGCATACATAACTGTACATCGCCCTGTGACAAATTTATGTGTGATCCCTAGGGACTGTACTGGGGATGTTTACATAACTGTACATCGCCCTGTAACATGGTCATGTCTGATCCCTAGGAACACTGCTGGGAACGTTTAAATCACTGTACATCGCCCTGTAACACAGCCATGTGTAATCCCTATGGACCATGCTGGGGACGTTTACATAATTGTACATCGCCCTGTAACACAGCCATGTGTGATCCCTAGACACCATCCTGGGGACGTTTACATAACTGTACATCGCCCTGTAACACATTCATGTGTGATCCCTACGGACCGTGCTGGGGACGTTTACATCACTGTACATCGCCCTGTAACATAGCCATGTGTGATCACTAGGGACTGTACTGGGGATGTTTACATCACTGTACATTGTCATGTAACATAGCCATGTGTGATCCCTATGGACCGTGCTGGGAACGTTTACATTACTGTACATCGCCCTGTAACACAGCCATGTGTGATCCCCATGGATCGTGCTGGGAACGTTTACATTACTGTACATCGCCCTGTAACACAGCCATGTGTGATCCCTATGGACCGTGCTGGGAACGTTTACATTACTGTACATCGCACTGTTACACAGCCATGTGTGATCCCTATGGACCGTGCTGGGGACGTTTAAATAACTGTACATCGCCCTGTAACACAGCCATGTGTGATCCCTAGGGACCGTGCTGGGGACGTTTACATCAATGTACATCGCCTCGTAACACAGCCATGTGTGATCCCTAGGGACCATGCTGGTGACGTTTAAATAACTGTACATCGCCCTGTAACACAGCCATGTGTGATCCCTACGGACAGTGCTGGGTACGTTTACATAACTGTACATCGCCCTGTACCACATTCATGTGTGATCCCAAGGGACCTTGCTGGGGACGTTTACATAACTGTACATCGCCCTATAACACATGCATGTGTGATCCCTACGGACAGTGCTGGGGACGGATACATAACTGTACATCGCCCTGTAACACATTCATGTGTGATGCCTAGGGACTGTACTGGGGATGTTTACATCACTGTACATCGCCCTGTAACATGGTCACGTGTGATCCCTAGGGACACTGCTTGGAACGTTTAAATCACTGTACATCGCCCTGTAACACATCCATATGTGATCCCTAGACACCATGCTGGCTACGTTTACATGACTGTACATCGCCCTGTAACACATTCATGTGTGATCCTTAGGGACCGTTTCTGGGGACCTAGACACCATGCTGGGGACGTTTGCATGACGTACATCGCCCTGTAACACATTCATGTCTGATCCCTAGGAGCCGTGCTGGGGACGTATACATAATTGTACATTGCCCTGTAACACAGCCATGTGTGATCCCTAGGGACCGTACTGGGGACGTTTACATAACTGTACATCGCCCTGTACCACATTCATGTGTGATCCCAAGGGACCGTGCTGGGGAAGTTTACAAAACTGTATATCGCCCTATAACACATTCATGTGTGATCCCTACGGACCGTGCTGGGGACGCATACATAACTGTACATCGCCCTGTAACAAATTCATTTGTGATCCCTAGGGACTGTACTTGGGATGTTTAAATAACTGTACATCGCCCGGTAACATGGTCATGTGTGATCCCTAGGGACTCTGCTGGGAACGTTTAAATCAATGTACATCGCCCTGTAACACATCCATGTGTGATCCCTAGGGACTGTACTTGGGACGTACATAGCTGTACATCGCCGTGTAACACATTCATGTGTGATCCCTTTGGACCATGCTGGGGACGTTTACATAATTGTACATCGCCCTGTAACACATCCATGTGTGATCCTTAGGGACCGTGGTGGGGACGTATAAATAACTGTACATCGCCCTGTAACACAGCCATGTGTGATTCCTAGGGACACTGCTGGGAACGTTTACATAACTGTACATCGCCCTGTAACACATTTATGTGTGATCCCTACGGACAGTGCTGGGGACGTTTACATAACTGTACATCGCCCTGTCACACATTCATGTGTGATCCCTACGGACCGTGCTGGGGACGTTTTCATCACAGGACATCGATATGTAACATAACCACAGATCCTAGTCAACCATGATTAGTTAAGTTAACATCTGTCACAATTCACCAGTCTTGTTACACCACGGTGTTTTTCTCACAGATGCTGACAATTCCTACAGACGCAGTCAGAATCACAATGGACCAACACAGCAGTCTTCAAGTACAACGCGTCCGTGTGCATGGTCATATGTAAATTCATTTCAATACAATACCATCATTGTTAAAAATCGCCTCTGCCCAAACATCTTCAGCTATCACCAACAGCCTCGGCCCAAACGTCGTCAACTCTGTCACCAACAGCCTCGGCCGAAACATCGTCAATTCTGTCACAAACAGCTTTGGCCCAAACATCTTCAACTCTGTCACCAACAGCCTCGGTCTACACATCTTCAACTCTGTCACCAACAGCCTCGGCCCACACATCATCAACTCTGTCACCAACAGCCTCGGCCCACACATCTTCAACTCTGTCACCAACAGCCTCGGTCTACACATCGTCAACTCTGTCACCAACAGCCTCGGCCCACACATCATCAACTCTGTCACCAACAGCCTCGGCCCACACATCGTCAACTCTGTCACCAACAGCCTCTGCCCACACATCATCAACTCTGTCACCAACAGCCTCGGCCCACACATCTTCAACTCTGTCACCAGCAGCCTCGACCCACACATCTTCATTTGTCACCAAGACCGCTTTCGTGGTCTAGCGGATACAGCCTCTGCGTGGAGAGCGGAGGGTTGTGGGTTCGATTACCGGTACCTTAGTGGGCTAGCACCATAAAATCGGCGTTAGTCCGTACTGGTACAAGTAGCCACGCACACACACACACACACACGCCCGCACGCCCGCACGCACGCACGCACGCACGCAGACACACACACACACACACACACACCGTTAAACTGCATTTCACCTCACCTCACTTCATCTGTCACAACGAACCTCGGCCAACACATCATGCATTTTGATGTTGGCCTACAGTGTAACACTGTAGGCATGCAGCGTTTTATTTATCTAAAGTCAACCACTGCGTGCAGTCTATTTTCTTTAAGTCTGCATTTGTACTCTGCCCGATGTCTGTTCTGTATATGGGCATTCTGGAATTAGTCCCAAACCTGCATTTCCAAGTACGTATAGGCCTGACCTTCCACGAGATGGTCAATACCTTCCAAGTAATTGTTATTATTATTAAAGTTATTATCATTATTATTATTAACAGATTAAAATAAAAAATGCAGAAAATGGGGTTTGGGTGATCATGGCACAGTCAGGCTGGTTAGGCTCATCATCAGCTCAGATCCCTTGTCCCGTCTACACGCAGCCCAGGCAACGAATGGAACTTCTCCCAGGAAGCGCTGCCTAGTCGAACCCACTGAGAACTTTTCGGAGAATGTGAAGACTCCCCAACACTGTAGCCTTCTGCATTACCCAGAGTGTCGGAAGGGCTATATTCCTGGTAGCAAGCCCGGGTACTCTCTCAATGTCACTCAACAGATTAGGAGGTACCAAACCTAAGGCACCGAGAACAATGGGGAGTCGGACAACTTGGAACTTGCGATGAAAGTGTGGCATTTCCAAGCGAAGGACTCTGCTAATCTTCTCAACACACTGCACATAAATTCAATGCAGTGGTCGTTCAGATAGCCTCCTCTTAAAAAAACTGAGTCAGGGCAGAATTGATATAGCACTTTACAAGGTTGACACTCATTCCTGTACGGTCCAGCAGTACAGAACCATCAACAAAATCAACACTGACACTGAGATTATGTCCCACATCCTTTCTTCTTCTTCTTCTTCTTTGTCTTCTTCTTCTTTGTCTTCTTCTTCGTCTTCTCCATCTTCTTCTTATTATTATTATTATTATCAGTAGTAGTAGTGGTAGTAGTAGTAGAAGTAGTAGGAGTAGTAGTAGTGTTGTAATTCTTGATCATAATTATCAGTTATCAATGCATTATATAATCCCGTTGCCTTTGAATA